CATCTAAGCGTGTGTATAACCGCCGTATGACCAAGTGACGTCACTCGCAAGTCAATTTGACTTAATCATACAAGGCGTCCATGAACATAGTCTATGTCAATACTCAGTAAGTAAACATACATAACAACATCACAATTTAGATTGAATGAATAGCAGAAATATTCAATAATCAATCATGAACCACACATGGTCAAAACGTGGACTCGCAGGTCCAAAACAATGTATTTATTACATAAATATCCATGAGCATAGTCTGTAATTTAAAAACAGTAAAGGAAGCACGAACCACGTCTTCCTTAAGAACACTTCACCGAGGAAGGTGCGGATAGCTAGCTTTAGCTTCAACCTGAAATGGTGGGGGTCCCCAAAGGGGTCAGTACGCGAATACCGAGCGAGTAGCAAGCTAAATGTAGAATAACCAATGTTTCAAGTATAAGACCCAAACATAGGGTGATACATACACGTATAATTCTTTCCCCCGAGTTATGAAATATATATCAGTATATATACACATGGAAATACCCGGCCCATAGGTCATTGTTTATTTTGGAAAATAGTAGTAGTCAATATCTTTGACTTTAAATCCCAACCCACCCATATACCTATGAGTGTATAGGACTCCTCCTGGTCCAAATCAATTCATATCTACGAGTTTTGAGGACAGTAACGCCGTCCTTGGGTTCTCCGCCATTTATACATATGAGTTATGAAGACAATGCCGTCATCCTTGGGTCCTCCACCATTTACACATGAGTTTTGAGGACAGTACCATCGTCCTTAGGTCTCCACCGTTTATATACTGAGTTTTGAGGACAGTACCGTCGTCCTTGGGTCTCCACCGTTTATATACCGAGTTTTGAGGACAGTACCGTCATCCTTGGATCTCCACCGTTTATATACCGAGTTTTGAGGACAGTACCATCATCCTTGGATCTCCATAACCATAGTCGCCGGTGAGTGACCCGACTAGATTCGTCTCCGTCATCCTCGAAATTGGAAAAAGGATCTGGACAGTTGGGTAGAAGAGGGGGTGAATAATAAGAAGAGAGATGTCAGAGATGGCTAAAAGTGGTGGCGGTGATATCGTGGCCCCGTAACGGGGATGCTAGCGGGTGGAGGCATTGGCAATGATGAAGAAAGGAGAAGGAGAGCAACGGTAGCAGATATCGGGGGATGTATCGGGCTGGTGGAGGCATGGACATGCGGCTTTCTTCGCGGTGCAGCAAGAGTCAGCAAGAGGTAGACGACGATATTTGTATGAACGGAAGGGAGTAATGATAAGTCGGACATTGAGATAGATGGATTAATTAGGGTTATGGACATTTAAGTCAGTTTACGCATTTTTACTGTATTTTTTTGTCTAAACGCAATTTGGTTATATTTTTACTTTACTAAAACTTGAGTCTAATTTTTTCCATTCTTTTATAAACTATTGTGTGTGTGGCAGTAAACAATGTGTATGTACAAAAATTAGTTTAGTTGAATGTGAAATGAGTTTTCAACTCACAAATTTTCTTTGCTCAAAGTCCACCATAGACAATGATTCTCCATCATCCAATCGTAACCATGTATTGTATTTAAAAAAGAGTAAAGTGTCAATTTGGTACTTGAGTTTGTATCCGGTGGAGTAAAAAGTACATGAACATGTGTCGGGGCTCATAAAACTCTTCAAATTGTCTCCGGTGGAATAAAGAGTACATTAACTTGCAGAAGAGTTATGAAAGTACTTTGACTTGATTTCACAGTAGAATTAGGGCACATCCATTTCTTACCCCAGGGGGTCGGGGAGAGGGGGCATGGGTAAACAAAGTTGGAACTGCCACCATGAAGTTTCCAACTCAAGACTTCCGATATAGAGAGTGAGTCGGCGACCAGTTGAACTGGATCGTTTCCTTTAGTACACACCATCTATTATAGATGGACAACTTAGAAAAAATGATTTAATAGTTTGTTAGAATGTTTTTACTTGGACTGTTTTCAGCACTAGACCAGATCAGACCAGATTTAAATAGACGAGACCAGACTTCCGAAGTTATAAAATACACAGAGACCAGACATTTACCAGACCAGACAAGATCAGACCAGACCAGCAAATTACAGTCCAAGTAAAAACATCCTTAACTTTTAGTTTTAAACTAATTAAAATTTAAAAAAAGTTAAAAAATATGAGATAATATATATGAGAGCAATTTGTTTAATAGTGATTTTATATAAAGATGATATGAACATAACTCTCTCAATAAACTCTCCTTCTACACCTTGTATTGAAATTTTTCTAAATGTATTTAGCAAGATTGATTAAGTCTATTTATAGTAGTTAGGCTTGGGGATGAATCATCAAAGAATTGTTGTACATTCTTTGCTAGCGATACTAAATCAACTCACTTGTCTATCTATGATTAGGACTAGAATTAGATGAGTGGAGTCTTTACAAGGAATATGTGTTTGATCTTGTCCAATGCGCCTTATTGGACATGAGTTGTACCTAGCTAAATACATTAAATCTCCAATAACATTCATGTATGGTATTTCGGGACTGAATATTGTTTCTTTGTCTTCACGGGGTCGTAATGGATCACCGTGTACGTTGAGAGACTGAAGCACCATCGGTGAAATCAAAGAATGAACGTTGTCCTATGTAGAATCTTTTCAAGACTTTCTCGATATAATTGGATTGATGGATGAAAATTTCATTCTCCAAATGTTCAATTTGAAGACCGAGACAAAATTTGTTTTTTCCCTAGATCTTCATTTCAAATTCTTTCATAAAATATTTTGCAGTATTTTTAAAACTTGTTTAACATTTGTAATATATCAATTGAAAAATATGAGATGATTTGTAAACATATACCCTTTACTCCATTAAAACAAGTTGAGGTAGGTAATGAACCCTAATATAAACTGGTGTAGTATTTCCTTCTTAACATTTACAATTAATCACATTTACTTATTTGACTACTATTTTTATTGTTTTTTTTTTTCAAAAAAAAATTAAAGTAGAACTTATTTACACAAATATGACTATTAGTTACCACAATGTAGTGTCATAGTAACTTAAGTTTAAACATTGAACATAAGTTACTATATCTCCTTTACTACTCTAGTCACAAGTTACATTTTTGTAAACAATTTTCATGTTAGTCACATATATGTAATTATTTCCTAATTTTATCAAATGTTTCATGATTTTTAATTTTATAGTACTTTAACATAGGTTCAACTGAAATATTAAAAATGTTAAACACATACTACTTCCGTTCTTAAATAAATGCAACATGTTAAATTTTATAATATTCACATGTTCTACTTTTACCACATTTTATTTATTGATGCATTAATTTTTTTTGAAAAAAATATTGTTAAATATATGCCACTGTAAATTTTCAAAATCTTAATTTTTTTAACTTTTTTTTACCAACAAAGAATTATATATAGTAATAGTCAAAGTTGCGCATCGGTAAATGTGAAAAATTGTATGTTGTATTTATTTAAGAACAGAGAAAGTATATATAAAACATTTCATATTTTTGACTTTTTCATTTCTTAACTAATTTAAACTAAAAGGTAACAAATCATTAATTTGGTTTTCCTAAATTGTCCATTATATTTGGTGTGTGTATCATACTACCTCCGTCTGTAAATTAAATGGTACGGCCGGCTGTATCGTGCGCACGGTACAACCGGGGTTTTTTGTAATTAATCTGTGCTGCAACTCATCTGCGAAGAGGAAGAAGGACATCGACGAAGACGAAAATTGACTGCCCAGGTCCCCAACTCGCGAACAAGTCCAAGCCGCGACATACTCCGATCGATTGGCGCAGTAAAATATGGCTTACACAGATGACGATTCTCAACGGCCGCAACTCTCCAGCACCAGCGTAGCACCTTGAACTCCGGCTTCAGCGGCGGCTCCTGGGCAGCACCTGGTGTATAACCCTAGTTGCTTCTTCTCCCTCTTTCTTGTTTTGGACTCTTCCTTTTTGTCTTTTTCTTACTTAAGTTTGGTGAGTGAGTTTGGTCACTTGTTGGTCACAGGTTAGAGAAATTTAAGTTGTACGTAATTTTTCAGATGTGAGCGTAATAAATGAAATTATGAGCATAGTAGACATTTCAAATGAGTTTTATGAATGCTCATTTTGTAATTTATGTATATTCATTTGATATTAGTGTAATACTCATTTTCAATGAAATGCGTTTTATGTTAAACTAAAATGAGTATAACGCCTAAAATGAATGAGCACGCACAAATGAACTTTTTAGTTATTTGATACTAATTTGTAAGTTATGTATGCTCATTTTGGACTAAAACTTTTTAATAAAAGAAAAAATATTAAAAAGAATGTGATATATGAGGAATGAAGAAGATATCGCTGATGCTCATCGTTAGGCTCCTAATACTCAAAAGAAGAGGCTCGATACTCATCAAAATTGATTCAATGCTCATATAAAGTGAATCTGTGATTTTCACCAAAATTACAAGTTTGCCACCGGCTGTAAGACTGACACCGTACAACCGGCTGTATGGCTGGCACCGTACAGCCAGCTGTACCATATACGCTTCCACCTTCGTCCCCCTAAAATTGGGATAAGAGAGTGTAGTGTGATTTTAAGAAAAAGTGTGTGGTTGATATTGAATTGATAAAGTGTGAATAAAGTAAGAATGAATTCTAACCTGCTATGATTGTCCAATTTTACTTTATCGGTCCGTGTCACTAAGATTGTGGCATACCAAATTTGGTAAAATTTGTGTGGCTCTAAAGCATTCTTACTTTATCGATTCAATATCAACCACATAAACCACTTTTTATTAATTTGCGTGTAACTCCTTTTTGTTTTATTGTTAGGGGGTCGAAGGGAGTATGTGGAGGGAGGAGTAATTGTCTTCGAAAACAATTGGAAGTACTTTATCAATTTTCTTAGAAGTTTGTCCAACTATGAAATCTCCTTTATTTTATTGTAGAGAAGGCTAAATTGATAGTACTATTTTGTATTGTAAAGGAGCGAATATTCTCCGCATATGGCAGATGCGCGAGGAATATCCAGGGAATTTACATTCCGTTCCGTGCCTACAAATAGGGCTGGCACCCGGTTCGTAGCTTCTTATCTCTGTCTGGCGCCAATACAAAAACAATGGCTCTGAAGGCCGTTCATGTCGGCGGCCAGGTCACGGAGAAGGCGTCTCCGCCGCCTGTATGCCGGTACCCACAAGGGTATGGATTTGCAGGTGCGCGGAAATTTGTGGTTATTGGGCACAGAGGGAACGGGATGAACGTGGTGCAGTCTCCGGATCGGAGGCTCAACGGTTTCAAGGAGAACACCATTCGGTCTTTCAACGCAGCCGCTCATTTCTTGCCCGATTTCATCGAGTTTGACGTCCAGGTTTCCCATCTTTCTTCATCTCAAATTCCATTCCATTCCAACTTCCTGCTGCGGCCTTTTAATTATATTGCTGCTACGTACGTAAATTTCATCCAGGTCACAAAAGACGACTGCCCTGTTATCTTTCACGACGATTTCATTCTTTCCCAAGATCACGTAAGCAACCCCGCCCGCCCTCTAATTTCCTTAATCGAATCAACATTTGGTGCATTCTAATTATAAGCTGGTTTAATTTGAAGTCATGTAAAGATCGATAATTAAGTAAAGTTATGTTTGTTTATTTAATTAAATAAATGATCGATCAGGATGGGGTGGTGGAGAAGAAAATGACGGAGTTGAGCTCAGCAGAATTCCTGAGCTACGGGCCGCTGCTCAGAAAAGCAAAAGACGGGAAGATAGCGAGGTGGTGGGTGGAAAGGGACGACGCCCTCTGCACTCTCCAAGAAGCACTGGAAAAGGTAAACCCGAAGGTGGGCTTCAACATCGAGCTGAAATTCGAGGAGCACAGGGCGTACCCGCAAGAGCAGCTGAGGCGAGTGTTGGGGGCAGTGCTCCGGGTTGTGTCCCAGCACGCCAATGACAGGCCCATCCTCTTCTCAACGTTCCAGCCTGACGCCGCCCTGATGGCGAAGCAACTCCAGAGCATGTATCCGGTGTTCTTCCTCACCAACGGCGGCGGATCCGAGGTTCACAGCGGGGCCCGGGATGCGAGGAGGGGCTCGCTGGAGGAGGCCGTCAAATTGTGCCTGGAGGGGGGTCTGGAAGGGATCGTGTGTGAAGTGAAGGGCGTGTTTAAGAATCCTGCGCTGGTGAATCATATCAAGGACTCTAACCTCTCCCTCTTCACCTACGGCACTTTAAACAACGTGGTGGAAGCCGTATATATGCAGCATATCATGGGCATTGACGGAGTGATCGTTGATTTTGTGGGAGAAATATCGCAGGCAGTGGCGGATATGTTGAAGGATGATCATCATGATCATGATCATCATCATGATGTGCGTGCACAGAACAAGCCTAACTTCTCACCCAAGCAGTTGTCTTTTTTGCTCAACCTAATTCCCAACCTCATACAACCTCATTAGATCCATATATAGAATTGATTATATATAAATACCATGCATATGTGCAGCATTCATTCTCCAATCCTATCATGTATGAATCTTATTTGAACAAATATGCATGGAGTATGTAGTAAAGACCTACCGTTCGGTTCTTTTGTAAATTATATATTTCGCCCTGCCCCCAGCCCAGCCCAACCTCCAACTCTATCTCCATTATGTATTTAAAATGAGCAGTTATTTTTAATAATTTATTTAAACATTATGAAAAACTTCTTTATAAAATTTTATCCAAAAATATCATCGGAAACCACCTCAAACAATTACTACGTAATATATTACTCCTTCCGTCTCGAAATGAAGTTCTCGATTTGACATACACACATATTTATATAAGGTGAAGTTATGTTTTGACTTTCTAAGTTTACCCTTATTTTATTTAATCTAGAGATGAGCAAATAACCGATTCAACCAACCTTATCGAAAACCGATGACCCAACTGGTCGAAAAAATTGATTTTCGATTGGTTTTCGGTTGTCATAAATTAAAAATAATTGGTTCTTATTCGGTTTTATTTGTCGGTTGGTCCAAGATATTTAAGCAAAGTGCAAATTACCCGCATAGTCTACTTTTGGGTCCAAAATATCATTTATGGCCCAGCTTATCTTTCTTTTCATTTTTAACCTTTCTCTTTTCATTATTGATTTTTTATTTCACTTTTGGACAAAGTTTTGCCGACCTCCTCCATTCTGCCCTTACTTCCGTCTCCGTTCTAAGAAATTAAAGAGGCATGAGATCGACGATTTGGCGAGGGAAGAAGCTCCTGACCGGCAATTTCCTTAGAATCGAAGGCTCTCATTGGGAACCTCATCTGAGCGACTTGATGACAACGGGGACACGTTGTTGGAGCAGAGTCTGGCATAAGTGATGGAGTTCTCAACATCGCGATAGGGATACTCCATGTGTGCGCAATTCAGCTCTCAATCCCCGTACAGACGGTGGACGTACACGACGGCTTCGATTTCGCAGGGGACCTATGATTCGACGACAGCTATTATCTGGAGCACGGCAGGCAATCTGGAGTGACGACGAGATGTAAGGCGGGCGCAGTGAGTAACAACAGCATGTGAGCTTCAGACAACTGCACAAAGCGGTGGCTTGGACAGTTCGTTCATCTTCATTTTTCACGACCTCACTGCTAGGCAAACTGAAAGATTTAAACAAAAATGTCATAGATGTGTGTGGTTGTTCCCCTCCCCCTGTGTCGGCTCCGCCCTCTTCCCCTTCCTGCTCGACTCCTCACTGATTCGCTGCCTTGGTGCCTCATTGGTTTCCGGTTTGGAAGTATGTGTTTCATATTTTGAACATTTTACTTTGGTTTTAATTTTATTTTTAATTCATATAATTAAGCTTTAATTTTATTTTTAATTCATATAAAAAATCATTTGTTGATAAATAAATCATCTAAAATGATTCATTTTGATTTCTGAATATCAACAACTGCAAGAAATATAAAAAACAATAAAAAACAAATTATGCAAAATTTGCATCAAAAATAAACATAAACAAACACAAAACTACAACATGCAACATAAATTATAATAAGGATTAAACTTTGTAACTCCTAACAAAATTAATCAAAATTATACTTTGTAATATTTTCAACTTTTTTATATTTTTACTATTCTTTTTAAAAATGAAAATCGAGTTTTATACATTTCTATATAGTTTTTTTGGATTCATTGCTTTTTCTAAAAAAAATTAAACTTTTCCACTTTTTGTCTTTTTTTATTTTTATTTTAGGTTTTTTAATTTTTATTCTTTTTTTGAATTTTGAATTTTTCCTTTATTCACAGTATTAATTTGTAATTTTCTCACTATCTCAAAATTTAAAAAAAAATACATTTTTTTCTAGTATTGATTTTAAATAAAAAATGTAATTCTTAAGTTTCTTTTTCCATATTCTTTATGTTTTCTCACTACTACATTTTTAGACCTAATGTAACATTAATGATGTAACATATATATAATAGTGTTACCTATTTCTCTAATGTAACACTTTTTAGACCTAGTGTAACACTTTCTAGAAGTATAAGTGTTACATTAGGTACTATAAAGTGTTACAATAGGTCAAATGCAACACCAGCAAATGTAATGGTAAAAAAATGTTACATTTTCTCTGAAAAGTGTTACTTTAGAGAAATAGGTAACACTATTATAGATATGTTACATCTCTAATGTTACATTAGGTCTAAAAATGTAGTAGTGTCTCTTATTGTAATCACTTTTACAGTTTTTTCCAGCTTTTAAATCCACAATTTCTAGTATCCAATGTTTCTAAAGATTCCATATTTGACAACATTTTTACGTTAGAAACATTTCTTTCTTTAGTTATTCTTCCTAAGCAATGGGATAAGCCTTACAAATTAACGTATATGGCTACGGGCCTTAAGTCTTAAAGCCTTAGGCCTATTTTTGAAAAGAAACTTCAACTTGTCTATTTTTGAAAGAAATTTTGAAAAGTGAAAAAAAGTGATATTATTTTCATTTTTGGTCCATTTGTGAAAAATTCCCTTAAGCAAATATACTCCATAGTAATGAAATATGAAGTGTAGCCCACACCACCCATTGAAGTCCACCTACAAAACCCATTAATCAAATGCTATGGAGCCCTCAACCATTAACCCCGTTTTTAATTATCCACTTCCCCATTTCTTTAGCTCGTAATGATTTCATACAACATCCTGTTAAGAATTTCAAACCTCCGAGTACACCTTCATCAGTTCTGGACTAATCAACTTGGGTGCAAATATCTTATTTATCTCTACCGAAATCCTTATCTAATTGTTGTGAAATACACGCTTGTTTTTTCTTTTATAACTTTTCTAGATCCTTTATTATCTTACTCAACCTGGCAGATCTTTTGATTTTTAATTTTTCTTTATAGTGTGATTTAAAATATTCAGAAGCTCTTAGATGGGTGTTCAATAAGTTAATACTCCGTAGCTTATTTATTTGCTACCTATGTCCTTTTTTATTTTGTTTCCAGATTGAAAAAGAAATTGTGGAATATTTTCAACGTGGGGATTTTTTAGTTTTTATAATCGTATTGTGCTTTGTATAATTATTTACATTTAAATATGTTAATATTGTAAACTACACCCAAAAGCACACATTCTTCATTCACATACATCGTATATAGGCCTGGGCAGGAGACTAAGACCATTTGGAGTGGTGCAAGAGTCCAAATGTCAAAAATGGACTCCGTCGATATGAAAACAGTGTTTTGACTCCTATTCTCTGCATTACAGCACCGTCAATAAAATACACTCTGCACATTTTTTACATATCAATTTAGTAAAACATTAATTAAATTATTATAAGTAATATTTTCCTTTTAATTTTTTCTCTGATTAATTATAAAATAAAAAAGACACATTTCGATGTAAAAAAAAAATTAATTTCATTATTTTTTTCGTTTTTTCCTGAGTGATTTCAAACACATTGGATCATTGGATTCTCTTCTCAACTTTGTGTTTATCCATAACACATTGGATTCCCTTCTCAACTCGTTGTATCTTTTCAAGTCACATTGGATTCTCTTGTCCATTATTTGTGTCCTTTCATAGCACATTATATGACATTGGATTCTCTTTTCCACCACATTGGAGGACACGCCACGCATGCTCAAATTTGAATGCCTTGCCATTGTTATCATTCATGAAAATGTCTTTGGCTTGAAAGTTCTACAATATAATAATAATAAAGGAGTAAAGTGCATAGTAATATAATTAATAGATTTTTTAATTACTTAGTTATATGTATATTTTGAATATAACTAATATAACGAATATACACTAATATATAACTAATATAACGAATATATATACTAATCTAACTATTATTATACGAATATATATACTAATTTTATACTAATATAACTAATATATATATATATATATATATATATATATATATATATATATATATATATATAGTTATATACTAATATCATACTAATATTATACGAATATATATATATATATATATATATGCTTTGATTACATAGTTACATATATACTTAATATTATACGAATATATACTAATATACTCTAAAATATTAATATTGTTATACATATGAATTAATATATTAATATTAATATATACTTTATGAATTAAAATCAAATAATAGAGTAGTTTAGAAATTACCAAATCCTCTAGGTTCGACCCACTCCTCGGGGTTGCGTTCGTTTTCCGCACACAAACTTTCCATAGAGAACATTGATTATTGATGATCTTAAAACGGGATTGAATTTGAATCTCGAGTTCGAGGAACATGACTTTGTGCCGAAAATATCTTGTGAATTCGGCCCCAAAAAGTCTCCCCCGGTTGCATAGAACAACATCCTCTTTAACACTCCAATTAACACCCCTTCTTGAGGAAGACATAACAAAAATATAGTGAAAAAATATGATGAAGAATGAGAGAGATGAGAGATGTGTGATTAAAATGAGAAGGAATGAGGTGTTTATATAGGATTTTCGATCAAAATATTAATTAAAAATACCTGAAAAATAAAATAAATTATTTCAACCGTTGGATTTAAATTTCACCTGTTGCATCATTTTTTTTCCCGTTCAAACAGTGCCAAGATCATCACTGCCATTGGATCATTCAATTTTTTAAAAAAAAAACAACAACTGTTTATAGTGCATGATGACATCATGCTGACGTCACCGTGACGTCAGCGAGGGCAAATAATTCGGCTCCAGGCCTCTGCTCCCCGCCAGCGCACAGCAGGTATGCCCCCCACTCCCCTTTTTCTTTTCTTTTCCTTTTTCTTTTTGGCTGTCCAAAACTCCTCCAAATTTAACCCCTTCCCTCCCCAAACCCATTTTTAATACCCTCTACACTCAACCAATGTATGAAATTAGGAGTCCAAAAATGTCATTTTAACATTTTGGACTCCTAATACCTCATCACTCCATTTGGTCTAAGGACATCCATAATTACATAACACGAAAAAATCTTATCTAAATAGAAATTGATGGATAGTCTACCCGGGGGTATATATCCGAAGGGTTATTACGGGGAATAGCTTAGAGAGAAGTCAGAGCAAACAAGTAAGAGAGAGAGTGTATATTTGATATGTATTCAGCGTGGTTACAAATGGGGAAATGGGGTGCTATTTATAGTAGCAATAAATGCCGGGCAGGGACACGTGTCAAGCGCTCATTGGCCGAGGGGTCACCTCAACTGGTTGGCGCTGGCAGCCGCATGTGGCCGCATTTAATGTGGCTGTTGGATGGGACGTCTGTGCGGGGTACGGTGATCTGTACGCATGTGAGGCGGATATCTTGTCGAGTGAGATACCTTCGGCCATAGAGCAGTAGCCGAGGGCTCTTCCACCCGATGGCACCCTGGTGCCGAGGGTTCACAGTGCCGAGGGCTGATGTTTTCGCCGTTTTCTCCCAGTTTCTTAGTTTGCTTGAGAAACCCGTTCTGTGAGAATTTAGAGCCTTCGGCCGGGGGGCCGAAGGCACCCCTGGCGCGTAGTGCGAGCTGCTTGGTACTCTGGGCGCTGTGATTTGGGCCTGCTGGGCCTTCTGGGCCTGTTGGGCCTTCGCTGGAGTAGTAGGAGTCTGTGGGCCGGGGGTTCCCGGGCCATATACTCCATCAGGAGTCCCTCACTCCTTTTGCCGAAAGGTACTTGAGGGAAAAGGAGTAATTTGTGCTTGCCCTTTGATGTTGTCCTGTCGCGATCTCTGAAGTTGGTGAGGAGTTGCTGCTTCTATGTCCCTGCCGAAGGCAGTCCCTCAGTTACCCACATGTCGGGACTTGAGGGCTTGCTTTGTTGTTTGTTGGATTTTCACAGATTTTGTAATTTAATGATTTTCCCGAAGGGGTCCTCCAGTCCCCCACTCCTTGAGGCACTTGTAAAGTGGTGAAAAAGGAGTAAAGCAGTTACGTTGCTGTTGTGGGCCGAAGGCTGACGCTTTTCGTTTCATTTTGGGGGGATGCCTCGTTAAAAACCTCATTAGGAAAAATCCTTTGGGAAAAAATCCTAATGAGGGAAAAAGAGTGCACCGAATTCCCCCAATGATGAATCGAAAATGTCAAACCTTGGTGAAAAATGGAGAATGACGGGAATGCCGAAGGCTCTCTCTTCTGAGGGCTCCTGTGTTGATTTGCCGAAGGCTTGCTGTTGATGTCCTGGTGGTGCCGAAGGGGAGCCCCTCAATCCAGGGATCGAGGGCCTGCCAAATGAGGGCAGCAGTGAAGTTGTTACCGGGGGGTCCACTGTTTGTTGATGAGTTGATGATGAAGATACCCGAGGGCTCCCATTACCTGTGTGCCATGGGCCCTCCGTCAATGAGGCACTCCCCGGGGGCTACCCGGTTTTGCAGTGCTGAGGGGGAAACCCCGAGGGGTACCCTGATATGCTGCCCTAGGGATCTGAAGGAGTGATCCCGAAGGCGTGTGTAATGTGCTGTGTGGGGCACAACTCGGGGGCACTTCTGGGTGAGTGCACCCGGAGGCAATCCTTGATGAAGTGGAGTGAAGTAGAAAACCCGGGGGCTTCCAGAATATAGCCGTTGGAAATATAGTCGTTGGAATATGTAACGACAGGATATAGCCGTTGGGGGGGGCATACGTGGCGTGTGATGGCTGGCTGTTCGTGGGCGGCGTCACCGGTTGGGTGAAACGGCGGTGTGTAATGATGGCGGTCCGTCCGGAGGCCCGAATCCAGGCCCAAGCCCGGATTCATCGCCTATAAATACCCCAAGGCCAGGCGTTCCTCCGTGTGCGAAAACTTGTTAGCGAAGCTCTGCCAATTTTTCTAGAGAGAGAAACAGCAGCCCCCGGTTGAATCCTCTGTTCTTAAGGTCAGTTCTCCGGTTACCCTTCACCTCTTAGCTATCTGTACTGCGCCCTTAGGCTAGGAGATAGAACATTTAGAAAACACTAGTTGTACGAGCCCTCGAACTAGAGTCACAATGTCGTCCCAGAGTGATTCTCAAGATATCTCGGGGACGCCCTCGATGGAGGACGAAGGCATCTCCGACGTGGAGTCAAGCAGTGGTCAACCCTCGGATGGTGGTGATGCAGCCCTGGCCCGGGAGGTTCAGAAGGAACTCATTGCGGAGGTTGAAGCCGAGGGCTTCGAGCAGGAGTGCGATGATGAAGACTTAGCCCTCGCATGGCAGACAGCGGAGGATGAGGCACATAATGAGAGCTCGAAGGTCACGATTGCTGTTCTCCCCCCTCGGGGTTCCGGGGAGGCTAGTAGCTCGAGGCCGTTGGATCTGACACCTCTGAGGGCGGTTTCCGGTTTGAAGAAGAAGAAGGCCGCTACCAAGAAGAAGGAGAGGGCCGTCGATCAAGGAAAGCCCGTAGACATGCCCGAGGGGTACAGTTGGCTGAACACTGAGGCCCTCGAGATCAGGTCGAAGGCCGACAGGGCAGATCTGTACGTGACTCAGCTGCACGTGGGGCCCTCGGCCGAAGTGGTGGAGCCAGGTCCTGACGACGTGTTGTCCAGGGCGCCCGAGGGGTGTATTGCTATTCACGTCCTTTCGGTTTCCATGGGACTTAGGTTCCCTCTGCACCCATTCCTTCGGGAATATTTGCGGTTTGTTGGCTTGGTCCCCTGCCAACTCACGCCCAACAGCCACTCCTACATTGCGGGGTTCCTCCAGCTCTGCAAGTCCCGAGGGGTGAAACCCAGCCTGGATCTATTCTTCCAGAGTTTTAATCTGTGCCTGGGGGGCACGAAAACGGCGAGGGGTACGCCAACCTGCAGCAGATTGCCCGCTTCAAACTATTCTCCGATGCTCCTTCTTCCAACAAAGGATGGAGGGAACGTTGGTGCTACGTGAAGTTGGATGAGAGCCCATTCCCGAGGGAGCTACGTGACCGATTCCGAAGGCACGAAAAGATCAGGAGTGCCGCTCTCGAGAAAGACGGCCTAAAGCTGGCCAAGTTCCCGGAGGGGAAAAACAAGAACGTGGCGATCAAAGACTGCACCCTCGAGGAGGATTTATACACCCTCGGGTTCCGGAGGTACCGCTTCATAGGGGAGTGCGATGAAAAGTACACTCCCTTCAACAAGGCCTTCGGAGGGGCCGGAGGTAGGAGCCGAGGGCTTTAGAATTTTGTACTTAGTTTTTTTTTTGCTTGGATGTTATCGTCCCTTCGCTTAGACCCGTCGGACTAACCCTTTGTCTCCTTTGTGCAGGTATCCCCGTCTCTATGGTGAATGTAAAGGGCCTTGCTCGTTTGAAGAAACAGGACCCGAAGGGGTCGGGACAGGGCATCCAGAAGCCCGCCACTGCCCTCTTTAAGAAAGACGAGGGCGATGCCGCTGCCGGTAAGAGGAAGGCAGTGACCAAGGGGTCCCCCCCGGCTACCAAGAAGCCGAAGAAGGGGGATGTCGCCGAGAAGGAGCCCCCGGTCATTGTTGCTGATGAGCACCCCGCCTCCGGGGTGCAGGTGGAGAAGCTGTCGGGTGGAACGCCGGCGGGGGCAGAGGAGTCGCTGCCTGAGATCCTCCAAGTCGCGTTCCCGAGGGGTATGTCTTTGGCCAGCGGCGCTGTCGACCCGGGGGCCATCCTGAGGGGTATGACCCCTGAGACGGATAGGGCTGCCCTCGGGGCCTACAATGATGCGGCCCTCGAGGACCACATTCTCCGCTCCTCCCTCTCTGTAAGTGTTTACCTGGTTTTCTCCATCTTCTCCTTTGATTATTTTTGTGTGATTGCCTTTAACTGTTTTTGTTGTTGTTCTGCAGGCTTGCTTAGCCCTCGGCGAACAGGCTCGGAGGCTTCAAGAATGGCGCCTCCACAAAGCGGAGCAAGACGCCAGAATGAGGGAGTGCCTCCTCAAGAACCAAGAGGCGGTGAAGCTGGGGGCCCAGCTAGAAGAGGAGCTCTGGCAGATGAGCCTGAAATTGGAGGCTGCAGAGAAAGGCAAGGCTGATGCTGAGGCCGCTGCCAGGAGAGCTGCTAAAGAGGCCGAGGACTCCAAAGCGCTAGCCGTCGCCAAGGCTCAGGAGGAGGCCGTTGAGGCCTTTGTCACCGAGGGTTGGAGAGCCGAGGGGCGCAAGATGTGGGTGTCCTCGGTCGTGGAGGCCTGCGTTGAAGAATGGGCCGAGGGCCCTGGGTGGGAATGGATGGCCCGGAAGGGCAGAGAGTACTATGAAGCCGGCGAATTCTTCACCCAGGCCCTCATCTACCGGAGGATGGCCCGGCATTTGGGCATTGAGCAAAAGGACTTCTCCCCCTCGGCGTATGGCCTTCCTCCCTTGCAGCCTGATGTCCGTGAGTCGCTCCCGGAAGGTGTTCAGAGGCCCGACCTTGAGGACACGGTGTTGAAGAATGAGGCCGAGGACGACGCTGTCGAGACCGGAGCGGAGGCATCATCGAGGCCGGCTGCAGAGGGCGCCCCAGGGAATGATG